GACTAAGGCAGGAAAATTTCAGAGTGCCGAAATAAAAAACCAATTAAAGTGTCAAAATTAAGCAGGGTTTCCTGGGTGCCAGCAATTTTTGGTTGATCCTGCGAATTTTCTCATGTTCGGAGGTTAGGCAATTTGACGCTTTTTGCTGCATCAGAGAATCTCGCTCTTTTTTCGAACCCAAAAACCCTTTTTTTAAAGAATCTCTTTTTAGCTAAAGAGAATTTTGCCCTTTTTGACTGAACTCTGTTCTTACAATAATAATACACTTTTGTGCAGAACAGCTTTTTAATCGACCCCGGGAACGGGGATATTTTTTTATTATTCCCGCGTAAGGCAGATGTCGTTATCATTATCAGCCTGACCTCTCACGAGCCCGACTCTGGGGCGCACTAATGGCCGGCATTCAGGCGCACTCCACCTCGACTAATCTTTAGGCAAAAGACTAAAAGGGTCTGACAGCTATCTAGAATCGAACAAGCAATGCAAATACACTTGCTACTTAATACTTATCGGCTACATATGACAGATCGGAAATCTTCAAAACTGCGCTAATGCATCCTTTTTGTAGGCTGCATCTCTTTCCACTCGGGGAGTAGTAGTTGATTCGAAACTTTGACATAGGAAATGATGGATTGAATCATAAGAATATAGAGGGGTTCGCTAATAATTGCCGTACATATTTGCCAGGCCCCTTATGATTTTTATTAATTGTCCCCTTTTAGCCTCCTGCACCTTTAAATAGTGGTTTTAATACAATTTCTGACTAAATATATTCTTCGGATATTTTTGCCTGTGGCGATGATTCTGCGTAGAAATATTTTCGATGATGCCTCCAAATGCTCGGGCGCATTATGGGCAAGCTAGGGGTCAACGAAAAAGATTGATCATCGGTGCTATAATCGGTAGCTTCAACTCAACTGAAGTTTGGTAAGAATACATGTCGCAAGGGGGATGCCCAGTTGAGGAAGCAGAGGAGTGATTATCGAAAAGATAGATCCTCGGTGCTAAAATCGTCCTATCCAAACCAAAAAGTTTGATAAAAATAATGTAACAAGTAGGGTCTGTTAATTGGCGCGCGGGGGGGGGGAGACGAGATAGGTGTCTATTAGTGGGGGGGAAGGAGAGGCCCAGACAGGAAGGGCGCCCCGTATTGCGACCTCAGATTTTCACGTAATCCGGCCGTATCTCAAAGTAGAACGTCTATATTTCAATAATCTCTTCAGTTAATGCTAGAACAAGGGCCAAGGCATCACTATGAGTAATTTCAGCGCAATCGGACTTCGACAAGCCACCTTTTGGGTGCAATTTAAATTTCGAACTTCAAAGTTTAATAAAATTTTTTTAAAGGCCTATTTTGAAAAAAACGCTTCTTCCTCACCGAGATTAGCATTAAGCCAATACCTGTGCAAATTTTCAGCCAAAACCGTCCATGGGAAGGCACTTTTCGACGACTACAAAGGTTTTGCGGACGGAAAGACATCCTGACAAACGCAGACCCCCCCCTCTGAGTACAAAATAAAACCGCTCTTAAAATTCGAAAATCAACTTTTTTAAAAATTTGAAAAGCCGATCTTATGCAAAAAATCCGGCCGGTTCCGGTGGTATATTTAGTTTTACGATCCGGTGCATGGTTGCCGCTGAAATCGGGAAAAGGACCCAAAAAGAGCCGCGTGGGGGGGGTACCTCAACCCAAAAAGGGTTAGCGGGCTCCGCCCGCTAACCCCGACTCCTGACGCTCATTTGGGTTTTATAGGATTTTTGCAAACTTATGCTAATGCCCAGGTTTATGCTGAGGCTAGGCTTGGTTCAGACTTCAAACTGCAAAACTTACGCCTCGAGAGTAGTGGCTATAAGCTACGTAATCTGCCTATTTTTCCCAAATCTCACAACTACGAAAAACAGCTGCAAATATCATCCCATTAAATGGCTTCAAACTACAGGACCAAAACGAATCCATAGACTTCCATATACACATTTTCACCCTATCCTTTTCCTTTTCCTTCTTCTCTATCTTCTCGCTCCACCAGAGGCGGCAAATTTTTTGGGCGGCTTCCTCAACGGTAATTAGGCGCCCCGCGGCACCGGAAATTCGCGAAAAATAGCGCAAAAACGGGGTGGAGAGATATGGAAATGCCATCGCCAGGGCACCAGGGCACAAAATGGCGACTGGGGAGAATAATTATGGGGGCCAAGTCGTTATGAATGTACGAAAATTGATAAAAAATTAGCTTAAAAACCTCTGCTAGCCTGCCCTCTCCTATTCCTCAACAATCTCTGCTAGCCTGCCCTTTCCTCTTCCTCAACAATCTCTGCTAGCCTGCCCTTTCCTCTTCCTCAACAATCTCTGCTAGCCTGCCCTTTCCTCTTCCTCAACAATCTCTGCTAGCCTGCCCTCTCCTCTTCCTCAACAATCTCTGCTAGCCTGCCCTTTCCTCTTCCTCAACAATCTCTGCTAGCCTGCCCTTTCCCTCTTCCTCAACAATCTCTGCTAGCCTGCCCTTTCCTCTTCCTCAACAATCTCTGCTAGCCTGCCCTCTCCTCTTCCTCAACAATCTCTGCTAGCCTGCCCTTTCCTCTTCCTCAACAATCTCTGCTAGCCTGCCCTTTCCTCTTCCTCAACAATCTCTGCTAGCCTGCCCTTTCCTCTTCCTCAACAATCTCTGCTAGCCTGCCCTTTCCTCTTCCTCAACAATCTCTGCTAGCCTGCCCTCTCCCTCTTCCTCAACAATCTCTGCTAGCCTGCCCTTCCTCTCTTCCTCAACAATCTCTGCTAGCCTGCCCTTTCCCTCTTCCCTCAACAATCTCTGCTAGCCTGCCCTCTCCCCTTCCCTCAACAATCTCTGCTAGCCTGCCCTTCCTCTTCCTCAACAATCTCTGCTAGCCTGCCCCCTCCTCTTCCTCAACAATCTCTGCTAGCCTGCCCTCTCCTCTTCCTCAACAATCTCTGCTAGCCTGCCCTCTCCTCTTCCTCAACAATCTCTGCTAGCCTGCCCTTTCCTCTTCCTCAACAATCTCTGCTAGCCTGCCCTTTCCTCTTTCTCAAAAATATCTGCTGGCCGGAACCTTTGAGGAATGTGGGAAATGCTGGTGTGCTAAGTCGTCGGTAATTCGCGTTTTTCAAGGCACCCCAGGTCGGAGAATTTTGAAACATAAAATTTAACGAATTATTATTCGGAAAACAGAGCGCAGGGCAGGTTAGCAGGGAAACTTTGCGGAATGCGGCTGGCACGGATTCTTTGTGGAATTCGTGTTTAGATAGGATGTGAGAGATCTCTGCTTTTCGATTAGTTTCGGCGCCCGCCCATTTCAGGCTAGCGTGCAAAAAACGAGAAATAACCAGCGAACACCATATTGACGTTTCTTAACGAGAGCCAGGTCCTTAGGGTTTTGATACATAACATAACATTTCTTGATTCAGAAAGCGCAGGGCCGGCCAGCATAAAACCTTTGTGAAATCGCAAACGTGGGTTTTTGTGGAATTTTTTTTGGAGGGCAAGCTAGCAGAGATACTTGAGTGGAAAGATGTACGTATTTTAGGCAAACTAGCAGGAAGCCTTTAGTCAACCGATTCGTCGCAACAGGGAATTTTAAGTTTGCTAGGACGGTCGGATCCTCAAGTTTTTGAAACATCGAATTTCAGAGATCATCTTTTGAAAAATGAGCGTATGACATGAGCAGGCTAGGCGAGATTCTTTACGAATTCGAAAGGGGGCAGCCAGCATGTATTCCTTGTGGGATTCGAGCGGGACAGGTTAGCAAAAGTTCTTTTAAGGTGTTTTCGGTCTCAGGAATTTGGAAACATAGAATTGAATTAACTATATTTTTTTGCGAACACGAGCGCACGGTTTGGTAACGAAGCTATGTGCTTTTTTCAGAGGGCCGGCTAGCAGAGGTTCTTGAGAAGAACGATGCACGATCTTTAGACGGAGCGTAATACGAAACGGCTCGACAGAAGACGCATTGAACTTTGTCAAGGTCTTTTGTGTCTTCAAAATTTTGAAACATGGCAATTAAGGGGCGATTTTCGCAAAAAATTACTTGCAAAAATTGGCAGAATCGCGGCAGGCTAGCAGCGATTCTTGAAGACAAAAAGCTCAAAAATTTGTAGGTTTTTCGATAAAGAAAAGCACGAGGGCGCCTAAGGATTTTAAAAATGGAGCCAATGTTTTTGGCGGCATCTGAACATAGGGCAGGCTAGCAGAGAATCTTTGCGGAATTTGTAGAACAGAGGGAGGCAAGCTAGCAGAGATTATCGAAGGTAAAGAACTGAAAAAATTTACATTTTATTCGATTAAGCCGATTGCAAGCGGCCCAAAAATAGTCATCCAGCCGCTGCTGCCGGGAATCGGGAATGAATTGGGGGGCAGGGCAGGACCAAAGAATGGGCCCCTGGGCCCCAGTGTTTCTAGTTGGAGGAAGGCCCTGGCGGGCGATCCGGGGCCAATCAGAAATGCAACGAATACCGATTTTCTTAGTAGCCGTTGGTGCGTCAGCAAAAATATTGGGCATGCCGATTCGAAAATACCCGAAAAACCGGGTACTAGTCTTTTAGCGGGGGGAAACTAATTTTCGATTCCTTTTTCCCGTCTAGTCTAGATAAATCAGGTGTATTTCTAATGTTTTTAGTCGGTTTTGATTGCTAGAAACGACAAAAAGATGCAAAATTTTTGAAAATTCGAAAAATGTTGCATTTTTTGGCCATTTCCATGCATTTTTGAGCAAAAGACCAAAAATTCGAAAAAAATTCTAGGTTGTTTATGAGCTTTCTATATAAAATATAGCCCTCAATTTAATTGCTAAATTTCTCAGAATTTCGTGGTGCTGAAAATGTTAAAAAACAATGTTTTACTCGAAAATTGGGATCGCCGCTAGCTTTAATGGCCATTTTACGCTTACCGCGACTTGAATGAAAATTTCATTAGGGTCGTCAGAAAGGGGATTGAAAACTTTTTCAGTTCGTCATTTCGTAAAAAAGATAGACCAGCAGCCAGCAGACTCACGTTGATATGAGACCCGGGGACGAGCAGGGTGTTTTCCGGCCCATTCCACCGCCGGCTCCTCCTCCACCTGGGCCACTTCCCGTCACGTGCACTCGAGGATTATGCGGGTTTTCCCCTGAAAAATCGAATTTCACACTTTTTAAGTCGGCCGAAGGGTCAGCGTATTTTCAGGGCTTCCGGCCGTTTTTTCGTAAATTTCTCAAAAATATGTGCTAGCCTGCCCTCTCCTCTTCCTCAACAATCTCTGCTAGCCTGCCCTCTCCTCTTCCTCAACAATCTCTGCTAGCCTGCCCTCTCCTTTTCCTCAACAATCTCTGCTAGCCTGCCCTCTCCTCTTCCTCAACAATCTCTGCTAGCCTGCCCTCTCCTCTTACTTAACAATCTCTGCTAGCCTGCCCTCTCCTCTTCCTCAACAATCTCTGCTAGCCTGCCCTCTCCTCTTCCTCAACAATCTCTGCTAGCCTGCCCTCTCCTCTTCCTCAACATCTCTGCTAGCCTGCCCTTCTCTTCCTCAACAATCTCTGCTAGCCTGCCCTCTCCTCTTCCTCAACAATCTCTGCTAGCCTGCCCTCCCTCTTCCTCAACAATCTACTGCTAGCCTGCCCTCTCCTCTTCCTCAACAATCTCTGCTAGCCTGCCCTCCCCTCTTCCTCAACAATCTCTGCTAGCCTGCCCTCTCCTCTTCCTCAACAATCTCTGCTAGCCTGCCCTCTCCTCTTCCTCAACGATCACTGCTAGCCTGCCCTCTCCTCTTCCTCAACAATCTCTGCTAGCCTGCCCTCTCCTCTTCCTCAACAATCTCTGCTAGCCTGCCCCTCTCCTCTTTCCTCAACAATCTCTGCTAGCCTGCCCTTTCCTCTTCCTCAACAATCTCTGCTAGATTGCCCGATTCCCAAAATGAAGGCAGGCTAGCTGAGACCATTTGCGGAGTTTTTTAATGCTCTGAAATGTCAACTACCACACCGCTATTTTGACAAGGCAAAAACCGGACAGACACGCGCAAGCCGCTACTGGACTGGACGAGGGACGCGACGGGTTGATTTTAAAGGGACTTGGAAGGCGAGAGAAAGAGAGAGGGAGGGAGAGAGAGAGGGAGAGAGCGAGAGAGAAAATGAACCAGACACACACCTGACATCCACGGCGGCGACACGGCATCGGACGAGAAGAGCCGCATGCGGTGGGCTCCGTTTAGCCCTAGAGGGGCACGATTAGAATCCAGGTTTTTAAAGGGGCCGGCAAGCCTAAGCCTAAGCCTGAGCCTTCCCGGTCCCTTTAAAAACACAGACAAGGCGCGGGGTACGGTAGCGGTTATTTTGCACCTCAAGATACAGTACAATTCTAGGGTATATCTACAGTAACGGCTAAAAAATGTAAGCAAAAATGCGAAAAACACTAAAAAATAGAAAAAGATGTTCAAAATTTACATGATTTTCTGGAGATGCTCATCGCCGACGAGGAGGACGGGACCGAGATCTTGATGGTCGGCACGGAGGTCGGGACTTCTAAAAAAAAAGAGGCATTATGATGGGCAGGCTTGCAGAGATTTTTAGGGAATCCGGGGCAAGCTAGCAAAGGTTTTTGAGGAATTTGCGGTAGCAAACGTTGTAGCAGAAATTTTTGCGGAAACTGGGGCAGGCTAGCCTCGATTTTTAATAAAGGCATACTAGCAGAGATTCTTAGGAAAGCTGAGGACCGGGGCAAGCCAGCAGCGATTATTTGGGAATTTCAGCTGGTGGTGAAGCAAGTCAGCACTCGTTTTTAGAGCTGGGCAGACTAGCAGAGGTTTTTGGGGAACCCAAAGGGCACCGCTAGTAGAGATCTTTAACAAGTTGGGCCCAAGGCCGCTTTTAGAATTTTTTTAGAATCCGGGACACCTCGCAAAGATTTTTTGAGTACCACCTAGGGGTAGGCTAGCAGAGATCATTGGGGAAATGGCAGGCTAGCCAGGATTCTTTGGGATTCTGACCCGAGGTAGGCTAGCGGAGAAAAAGACCAGGAGTGAGAGCGAGCGAGAGCAATAGAAAGAGTGAGCGATGATCGAGAGAGAGAGAGAGAGAGAGGGAGAGAGGGAGAGCGAGAGAGAGCGAGGACGATAGAGATCTCGCAACGTTGGTTAGGGGCAGGCTAGCAGAGATTCTTTGAAAACTCGATGTCGACGCATTAATGGCGTAAACTATTTCCCGGGTGTGAAAAATAGCCGAGCGGACTCGATTCTTCTGTGCTTGTTAAAAAACGTCAGCCCGTAATATTGGGGCCCTAATCCGGGGCTCTGTTTCGCCCGGCGAAGAGAGAGGAGAGAGAGCGAGAGGGAGAGAGAGAGAGAGAGAGAGAGAGAGAGAGAGAGAGAGAGAGATATGAGATGAGGGCACGAGCCCTTTTCTCATTTTCTCTGTTTCTCTGCTTGTTTTTCCGGGATCAGCCACCACCCCATTGTCATCCGGGGAGCAGTAGCGGAAGAGGCGACGGTTTGCACTTTAAGGGGATGGTACCGGCAAGGAATTTGCATAAAAATTGTTGAAATCGGTTTTTTTAAAGGGATGCCCAAGGCACCGCTCTAGATTCTCATAAACGGGAGCCAGAGCTATGACTTGCTGATTCCTTTAAAACGAGCCTGGCTCCCCTCTAGCTTCGAGGACTTCCCGATTTGATAGAATGGGGGAGGCGCGGATTCCGGGGGACAATAGGAGCGTAATGGAACTTTGGCCAGCAGCAACTTGGTGTCGAATTTCCGGAGTTTGCTCCCGGCCGGATGACCGGAAAACGAAAGAATCAAAATTAGATAAATCCTAGTAGTGTTTTCTGCGGAAGAGGAGAGGGCAGGCTAGCAGAGATTGTTGAGGAAGAGGAGAGGGCAGGCTAGCAGAGATTGTTGAGGAAGTGGAGAGGGCAGGCTAGCAGAGATTGTTGAGGAAGAGGAGAGGGCAGGCTAGCAGAGATTGTTGAGGAAGAGGAGAGGGCAGGCTAGCAGAGATTGTTGAGGAAGAGGAGAGGGCAGGCTAGCAGAGATTGTTGGAGGAAGAGGGAGAGGGCAGGCTAGCAGAGATTGTTGAGGGAAGTGGAGAGGGCAGGCTAGCAGAGATTGTTGAGGAAGAGGAGAGGGCAGGCTAGACAGAGATTGTTGAGGAAGAGGAGAGGGCAGGCTAGCAGAGATTGTTGAGGAAGAGGAGAGGGCAGGCTAGCAGAGATTGTTGAGGAAGAGGAGAGGGCAGGCTAGCAGAGATTGTTGAGGAAGAGGAGAGGGCAGGCTAGCAGAGATTGTTGAGGAAGAGGAGAGGGCAGGCTAGCAGAGATTGTTGAGCAAGAGGAGAGGGCAGGCTAGCAGAGATTGTTGAGGAAGAGGAGAGGGCAGGCTAGCAGAGATTGTTGAGGAATAGGGGAGGGCAGGCCAGTAGAGAATGTTGAGGAAGAGGAGAGGGCAGGCTAGCAGTGATTGTTAAGGCAGAGGAGAGGGCAGGCTAGCAGATACTCTGCAGGAACTCACCCAAGAAATCCGGCTCCCGCCTGGGGCGGCGAATCGACTTTTTTAGACTTTCAATCATTTTTATAGCCAAATAAATTTTTTTATTTAGATTTTTGAAATTTTCATGCGTCCAGAGTATCGCTCCGGAATTGGGGACCCCGAATGTGAATCCACAAAAGCTGGCGAGCAAGCAGTCAACCAAAAAATTGGACGGCTTCTCCCACGACTCGTAGTTAGGCATCCATTCAACGCGCTTCCTGTTTCGGGTCCCAGAAATTGTCAAAAGATTGCGGGGTTACTGTGGCAAAAAAGGAGCTTGAAATTGGCTAGCCTTTGGGGGTTTTTCGAGATGGAAGGATGTGAAAGATGCTTTTTAAAATCGCAAAAAGGAAAATACTTCCCCGCTAGCCGGTCCGTATTTTAAAGGGAGCAGCTAGCAGAGTTTCTTGGGGAATTTAAGATCGAAACTCAGGAAAGGGGCAAGCTAGCAGAAATGCTTAGGGAATTCAAGGACACTCGTCAGGGCGAGGGCAGCTAGCCAAGATCTTTGAGGAAGACCGGAATGGTATGGAAATCTTGCAGAGGTTTTTGAGGAATTTGGGGTCGAAGGCCCGAAAAAGGGCAGGCAAGCCGAGATTCTTCAGGACTTTGAGGTCGAAGGCAAGCTAGCAGAGATCTTTGTGGAATTCAACGGCAGCTAGCAGAGATTATTGGAGAATGCAAAGTGGAACGCCAGGAAAGGGGCAGGCTAGCCAAGATTCTTGAGGAATTTAAGGCCGAAGGCCAGGCAAAGGGCATACTAGCGGAGATTCTTGGGGAATTTAAGGTCGCGGCAAGCTAGCAAAGATTCTTAGAGAATTCAACTCACCAGTATACTTCTGATTAAAATGCCGCCCCGGTGACCGTATCCTCCTCCAGCACCGTACCGCTACGAACACGAAGAAGGCGGTGGCGGCGAGGGCGGCGACGGCCAGCCCGCCGCCCCACACCACCGCCACCTCCCCATCTGCCATCACGCCAAAGCCCAGCCACGACTGGAATTGGATTTTTAAACAAGCAAAAATTTTTATATTAATTATTATCAAAGTATTATTAAATCAAATTTTAGTTGAAAATTCGAAACCTGGCCGCCCAAAACTGAAAAAATGATAAATTCACAACGTTTTTTTGAAGAATTTTTCCTATTTTTTGATTTATATACACGTCATAGCAGGTTTTTAATCGCTTTTTAATAAAATTTAGCTATATTTTAACTGCAAAATTATTTAGAAGATTTTCATGCTTAGAAATTTGACATTTTTGTCGAAATTGATCATTTTTGGTCGAAAACTCTTCTTTTTTGTATTTTTAACAGATTTCTGTAAAGTTTCGAAATTTCGACATAGGGAAAAATTATAAAAACCTTTCTTTCTTGATGTTATAAAAATTCGATACAAAGAAAAATTTGGACCGTAAAGTTTTTCCTGAATTTATAAATAAAAAAATGGTTTCGTCTTCTGACCAGGGCCAAAAACTTGTTTCGTTTATTAATAGTACTTAGATCATTGGCGCTTTAAATTTAATTCAGAAGAAACCCCCCCTTTTTCCCGAAACTCACTTGGCTTTTATCGGCTCCGACGGCCGGCATCGGTCATCCCCCGCGCGGATCCGCCGGCTGCCCAACTAGAATTTTTGACCATTTAAGGATTGAAATTGTGGCACAAAAATAAGCGGTAATGAAGGATGAGTATGAAAGTATGTCATAAATGCCAAAAATTGGGCTCAGCAAATCTCGCAAAACCCCAAAATTTTTTGAAACTTTGAATTTTGCAGAGGTGGAAAATTCCAAAATAGTCTCTCTCTCCCCTCTCTCCCTCTCTGTCTCTCTCTCTCTCTCTCTCTCTCGCTCTCTCGCTCCCCCGGTCTTTTATGATGAAAATATTAAAGGGGAAGAGATGACTGCAAAATGAAGAGAAAGATGTCCGTATTGCTGGTTATTGCATTCAGCAGATATCGCAAAACCCCCAAATTTCCTGAAACATTGGATTTTTCGATCATCGCAACGAGCGCCGGGGCAGACTAGCAGAGATTCTTTAGGAGCAAAAGACAGAGGTCGGCTTGGAGAGATTATTGAGAACGTCAAATGAATCGAGGGCAGGCGAGCAGAGACCATGTAGGAAAACACGGTTTTGCAAAAATCGAATTTTATACGTGCTTAAATTCGGCTCGGCTGGGCAGGCTAGCAGAGATCATTGGAAATCCGGAGCCTCCGAATCCGGAAATTTGCCAATTTACGCGCGTCTATGAAAATTGTTTGAAAGCTATACATGGAAAAATAAAGTACATACCAGGGTTGAAAAGCCGCTTCGCGACTTTTCAACCCTGGCCCCCGTCTAATCCTATGAGGTTCTTTATTTTGCATAATTGTGCCTCAATTCCGATGACAAAAAAAAGAAAAATGAGCCCTTGGGGCCTTTATATAGGCTACTGCAACTTCCGGCGTATGCTAATTTTCTCCTAACAAAGTGGGCGGCCGAATTTTTAAGAAAAACTTAATTTTAATGTCGAAAACAACATATTTTACAAAATCTGATGTGTGTGCAGTCATCTACAGCCCATTACGCATCTAATGATGTATCAAACACCTCCTTACGCCCCCTCCCTCTTGAGATATCCTCCGGACACGCTGACGGAAGTTGCATGCAAAGTGTCATACACACACACACACACACAGACACTATTTTTTTATATATAGTAGGATAACGGATGACTGAATTGCCTATTGAAGCTTGCAATCCGCACCGGTACTTGGTGAAACATCGAATTTTATGAACTGAGTGAATGGGCAGGCTAGCAGAGCTTCCTGATAAATTCGTATGGGCCCTTCAGATTTGCTACTTCCAGTTGCGTGCAGCCAAAAAAGAAACGATAACGACAAAAAAGGTAAAAGCTGTTCCTGCCTCAAATACTGCCGATTGGATTCAGCATTTTTAACACAACAGCAGCC